CTCATGTGATCATGGAGGCTGTAAGCCCCAAATCTGCAGGCTGGGCCAGCAGGGGAATGGACACAACAGGTCAAGTCTGAGGACAGTCTGGAGGCAGAATTTCCTCTTCACTGAGTTACCTTGGTCTGTTTTCTCTTAAGGTCTTTACCTGATCGGATGGGGCTCACCCACATTATACAGGATAATCTGCTTTGCTCAAAGTCAAATGTTAATCTCATCAAAACATATCTTTGCTGTATGTGGTAGATGTGTGTGACCCAGCACTTGGGAGACTGAGATGGGGGGGTGGATGAAGAGTTCTCTTTAAAAAAGAATAAATAAATAAATAAATAAGGAAACGTATCCTTATAGCCATATCTAGACTGGTGTTTGAGCAAACACCTGGGAAATAGGTTCTAACCAAGTGACACATAATTCCCAACACAGACACAGCAGTGGCTAGGTCCTGTGCCACCTGCCTGGGTTCCCGGGGTACAGATCACTCTTGGTCCCTGAGGTTCAGGTTCTCTGCCCAGTGGAACCAACTGGGGAGTTAGGATGGATAGAGGCTGCTATTGTCTCCTCTAGGACCAATTTCTGCAACAGGTCATTTACGTGCCTCTTCTTCATTCGGAAACATCCATTCATGGTCTAAGTATGAGAAGCCATCCAAGTACGCGCACCAAAATAAACAAAAGAGACCTGGTTAAATTCCACAAAAGAAGCCTATAAGTTCAAAGACAATTGATTAGCTATAAAACAGTCACTATCTCAATGCCCCAGCCTCACTCTTGCTAAGCTCTGCCATCTGTCTCTGGGCTGATCTTCTACCTGGAATCTTTCTCACCCTGCAGGGCTCTGACATCCACAGTCCGTATGCAACACACTCCCCATGTAAGTGTGTTGGGATGAGTCCCCATGTAAGCATCTTATCTTTAACAGCACGGTCTGGCTCTCTAAAGACTGTTTGAAAAGAGGGGGACTGTCCATTTCACCTCCTTACCCTCCTCTTCCCAGGGCTGATTTTGTATTGAATGTAAGATATCTTCGTTCTCTTCTGTGAATATCCCTCATGGTTTAGTCTCTTTCTTTTCTATTTTTAAGTGGACTCGTGGCCCACATCGCTTCTCTTTTCCTCATTACTTAACTTACTGCTTTGTCGGCAAACTTTCATCGTGACGCAGCTTTTCTGTTTTTAGAAGGCCCGTGGGTGCTGTATTTCTTGTGCCTTGCGTGTTTGTGATTGTCTGGGACTGGAGTACTTGGAAATCCGCTGCTGTGGGTAGAGATTCCGGAACTCTGG